AGGCACTGCGGGGAAAATAAGTAGCATCAGCCAACCAGGAAGTGATTTTAGCACAAAGGATTCAGACAACGACAAATGCATCTGCAAGTGTTCCCAGATGCTCTCAGGAGGTAAGGCGACTCTTCCCTATTTGTATTGGCAAGAAACAACTGCACAGCATAGAAGGCTGGCAGTGTGGTGCTCAGACCGGAACGAGTGACTGACAACGGCCTTACTTCATAAGAAGGCACGCCATCTGCCTACCAGTGCATTGGTTGGGCCTCCTTTTAGCTCAAGTGTGAAGTGGGAACACAACATGGAGCTAGAATTGTCACTAGGGTGACAGTGTACTCTCAGGACACTTGGGAGTGAGCTGGGGGACATTAAGTGGGCTCACTGACCAGATGAAAGGTTCAGCTCCATGTTGCTTGGTTTCTGTTTTAACATCCAGTCAAGGGCTTTTCTTCCAGCTGTCTCTTTCTTGCAATGATTCTTATATATAGGAAGAAGGTGGGCTAGGGAGACGGCTCAGTGGGTAAGGTGCACGCCATGTGAGCGTTCAAGTCTGCAGCATCCCTATGTATGTGAGCTGAGAATGTGGTGTGTGAGAATCCCAGAGCTAGGGCTGGCTTGCCTATCAATCTAGCTGAATCCATGGGCTCCAGGTTTGATAAGACACTCAGGCCTGTGAGATGGCTCCATGGGCAAACATGCTTGCTGTCAACCTGAGAACTGAGTTTGATCCCTGGGTTCCTCATGGTAGGATATGACTCCTGACAATCCTCTGATCTCTACACCATAAATAAGATTAATTAAAAAAATAAAAATATAAGTTTCTAGGACAAGTAAAAGATCTAAGCTTGTACCATGCCTGCTCTTCAGTAACGAGAGGATATACTTACGAAATAAAATCAAATTCAGAACTTGAAACTTCATGGAAGAATTAGTCTCACTCTACGGCAGATCCTAGACTCTTGGGATAGCAGAGTGGCCACTTGGTGGCATGAGTTTTCTCTATTAGCTGTAATTATTCAACTGTTCTGTAAAGGGGGCTAGACTCTCATCTCACTGTAACTGCTGTCTTTAAAGCCACACGGCAGTGGGGGTAGGGGTAGGTTCTGGGGCCACAGCACCCCTGATCCCGAGACTGCTTGCTGTTCATTCCCACACTTAGACCTCTCTGGAGAGGCTGCCTGTTCTCAGACCACCCATGTGCTGCTAATCCAGAGAGCAGGAGAGCTGCTTCACAACCAAGGACACAATTCATTTATTTACCCAGTTCAAGATTTAAGGGCTGAGAATAGAGTTGGGAGAGACTGGGGAGGAGGCAAGCAGCCAGGGGAGGGAAAGCGGGGAGGACTGGGTTGTAAAAGGCCATGTTCCAAGCCATGGGCTGGCCCGTGGGGACGGTGGCCTGTGGAGATGTGCACAGGCGCAATGACTTGGATGGTGCCCGGAGGTTAAGGCACATCTGTGACTGACATTTCTCCACAGCCCAAGGCTTCTGTACAACACAGGCTCTTTTTATACACGCCCATTTCTCAGAATCACCAGCTAGGAGTGTCTCCAAGCAGCAGTGCCCAGGGGAAAAATATTCTTTAAGAGAAGCTACCCTATTAATACTGTGTCCCCGAGGTGGCCTCAGAACTGGTGTGTCACCCACATTCTTTACTGTCTACTCTTGTTGTTTTCTGGATTTAAAAGGAACATAAATATTATCATGCAACCAGTGTCTCTCCCACACGAGGCTTAACGATGAATTGGGATTAGTACATCATTTGCCAGCCGTCTCACCAGGTCTTCACCCCACAATGTACCGTGGATGACAGCTTTTCACAGAGCACTAACCGACATCTCTTTATGTAGCAAGGATTTTGCACAAAGGCAGCTAGGGCATGTGTAAGAACTCATGCTACAACGGCACTGTGATCTCGTTGGTGTGCAGTTTGTGTCTATGGAATGACAAATCAATGTGGTTCTTCCCACACCATGGGTGTGTGTGTGTGTGTGTGTATGTCCAGCTGAGCCCTACAGACAAGGTGTGACAAACCAGTATTAACTGCTTCTGTGTTCCGCTTTCTTTCACAGGCTGGTGGTTTGATGCATGTGGTCCTTCCAACTTGAATGGACAGTACTACCCACAAAAGCAGAATACAAATAAGTTCAACGGTATTAAGTGGTACTACTGGAAGGGATCTGGCTACTCGCTCAAGGCCACAACCATGATGATCCGGCCAGCAGATTTCTAAATGCCTGCCTTAGACTACCAGAAGAACTTATTGCATCCAAAGATTAACTCCAAGGCACTCAGAGACACCGACGCACAGCAGTCCCTTCCCACATCAGGAGGTGCTCCTGGGAGTGGGGGAGGATCTGTGTGTACCAGACTGAAGCACATCACTTAAGCCTGCACTGCTAACCAACCAAAGGAAAACCAAAGGCACTGCGGTCTGGAGGAACACTTGTGGGGAAGGTTGTGGCTGAGAACCAGAGGGACAGCACGCAGACTCTGTCACAAGGAAGAGTGTTACTCGGGAGTTCATCAGTAAATAACTGGAAAACAGAACACTCAGATGGTGCAGATAAACCTCGGGACCACATTCCTCTAAGCACGGTTTCTATTGTGGATACATACGCAGCTCGGCTGTCATAATGACAAGATCGTGTCTAGCACCACAGCAGCCAGTATCCAGGGACTTCTAAGTGGTGGGTACAGGTTATCATCTGGAGAAGCACAGCTCAGTGTTTGCCTGTTAGGTGCTTTACATGTTCATTTGAAAACAACACATTTACCTATCTTGACGGCTTAGTTTTTAATGGCTGGATACTATTTACTGTATGGCAAAAATGCCCACATCTCTGGAGTAACCACCAAGCAGGCGCCATGTTGGTGTATGTGGAGACTGCACTGTTTGTTTTCTTCCTGGCTGTTAAATATGAAGGTGTTTTTAGTAATTAAATATAAGTTATTAGTTGAGGTGATTATGTTTGATTTTTATGATAGTATTTACAATTTTCTTCTTTGGCGCCTCTCTCTCTCTCTCTCTCTCTCTCTCTCTCTCTCTCTCTCTCTCTC